TTATGATGAACAAAATTCAAATTCAAAGTTATGCTGCATAAACTCTACTTTTCAGGCCTCAAACTTGTTAGGTACTCCATAATTAATTGCTTGCACAGCTGTTAGAGGTCTCATTTCAAGCATTCAATGCAAGGTCATCCTTTATATCCATTTTAGAAAGAAAGTGCACATTGCCATTTTGATAAAGTGACTTTTTGAACAAAACTTGTTCTTGAGCCTTGAACTTGTTCTCTTATGATCATACAAGTCCTATAACTCATAAAAAACTTGTTAGACACTTACAATCACTCAGTCCATGCTTGTACGTCCTCTTGAAACTTGTTTTTCCCATTTTTCTTGAAAATCAAGTAACCTAGCAATTAGCTGAAAACTCGTACTTCTGATTGCCCAAAGCTCTCAAACACTTTTTCTTATACATACACAAACCATTTGCCACAAATACCATGCATGCTTGACCCCTAAAAACACCAAGAGCTCAGAATCACATCTCATACCTCCATTTTCACATAAACTGGCCAAAAACTTGAAACTCATAACTCCCTCGTGCCTTTTCAAGCCTCTTTGTTCCTAAAGCTTCTAAACATCATTTAAAACTGATCCCACACCCTGTTACAAGATTGTAACACCATTAACACCATCCTCCATTTTCAAAAACAGAGCTTTACACTTGGACTTCTCCAGAACTCCTCAGGTACTTTCAGCTCAAGCTAAGCATCCCATTAGCTTCCTGGGGACTTGAGGAAGCTAACCCAATCATTGGAACTCACTGAAAACTTCTCAAACTCCAAACCCGATACCCTCTTGCAAGGTAAGTTTTCTAATTTTGGAACTTTTCATACAGGCATCATCAATGATTTATTTGTGAATGAAACATGTAGATATCATTGCCCTAAAGCTAACCATGTCCATAGTTTCCATTAATTTTGTTTGAGCTTAGAGAATTGTAAGTTTGAATTTTCTGAGATTTTTAGGGTTCATATTAGGTCCATTGAAATTTATGTTTATCTTTGATCTATAGTTTTAATGCTTTACATTTCTGAAATCGTGAGGAAATTTGCTATAAGTTTCATGTTTACAGTTTTCATTTTTGTTGAGGATTGTTTGAGTTACAGAGCTTCTGGCTGGGCATGAGGTTGAAGATGAAGTTGGCCTCAGGAACATGTTTACCATATATATTTATTGTTTGATTTATATAAACGGGTGTATAGCCACCCAAGTGGTAGAAGTCCGTGCCTGTAACCAAAGGGACCTGGGTTCGAGCCCCAGTGGTACCCTTTTGATTTTTTTTCTCATTTTTACATTTTCTGACTTTCCTTTTTACAAGCGTTGGGCCTTCCTTTGGGCCTATATGTTTTTTTTCTTATTGCTGACCCCCCTGCTGGCTTCTCACACTCTTGGCCCAGTTCTATTTTTCTTTTTTCTTATTTTTTACTTATTTGTTTTCTTAAATATTTTTTCTAATGTTAAAAAATCATAAAAATATAAAAATAGTAGATTTATATTTTGACATAGTTTATTTATTTTTTCTCACTAAATTATTTTATTTAATCAATACTTTATTTATTTTACTAATTATCTTTGTAAATTTAATTAAAAATAGGTTTTAGTTATTTTCTTTTACACCATTTGAATATATTATTCTAAAATATAAAAAGACCAAAAATATTTTATAATACTTTAATTTACTTTCAAGACAAAAATATCAAAAATACTTTTCTTAAACTTAATTTCTTTTTAATCAATTAATAGATTTAGGGTTTTATTTAAAATCTTTCCTTAGTAAATTTAGGTTTTACTTTTAATTAATTTTTTTTCTCTTTAATTAATTAGGTTAAAATCAAAACCCATTTTCTCTAAAAAAATTCAGACAAATATCCATTTTCTTTACATTTGCATTCTTGTATATTTATTCATTTTGTGCATTATATTCATTTAATTTCTTGTACATTTGTACCAATTCAATATGGTTGTAATAGACTAATTAGGTTTATTTTCTTGCAATCCCCATTTAAAATTTGTACTCCCCCTTCCACAAGTATTGTAATAGCGTAGTAACTTTAAATTCCACAATTTATCGCTTTATATACAATTGCTAGTAATTAGGGTTTGTATGGAAAGACTAAAACCAATCAAATAGAAAACTCTAATCAAAGACAAAATGAAGCATGAAAACAATACACTTGCACACAAGCACCCCCTAGGGTAAATCCACTTGGTTGCCTTACAAAATGGTCATATTACGCATGTGAGGTATCTTAGCAAAAACAAGCAAAATACAAGATCATAGTCCCTCGATGACGCTATTTATGTTGCCTTTCAAATGATCTTAGTCCCTAAAATAGAATGCTAAGATACCTTGCAACATTGCTAATCATGGTTATACGATGACCCACGCCTGTCCCGTTTACATCCAAAGATAGGGTTACTTACCAAATCAATGGTAAGATAACAATGTCAAAGGAAAAGAAAATGAACAAGAAAGACTTTTGAGTAGGTAGAATGCTCCTAATTACTTGCTCAATTTCAAACAAAACATCCTTGCTATTTTCAAAACAAACACCTACACTTTCAAAAACATCTTACAAACTTGAAAACATTTTCAAAAGATCAACATCTTTGTATACATTCTTATGAACGAGAATCATTACAAAGTTTTCCTAAACAATGACCTCTTTTACAAAATACTTTCAAAAACCACACAAAGCATAATTTCAAATAAAAGAAAGTGATCTAGTAAGTAACTAAGAGCCCGTGGAAAACCATAGATAAAAAGAGTGTTAATACCTTCCCTTTTCATAATCTACCCCCCGAATTCAAGAAATAATCTCAAAGGTCTTTCCTGTGCTTTTTCACCTTTCCTTTTGGATAAAAAAAAGTCGGTGGAGACTCTTGCTAACCGCAACATTTGCGATCAAACGCAAAACCTTCAAGTCAGTTCTCCCACAGTATTATAAGGGCGTTGATCTGATTGATGGCAGCGAGTGATGCTGCAATGGTCGGGTCGGCGCTAAGAGGGATGGGAACTGGTTGCAGGAGATTTGGCAGTTCCTCGGTGGGATTCTTGAGATGTCCCTTGTTTAAGAATTGGTTGTCGCCGTGTCGGGCGCCAGTTGAATTTGGAGACGCAGTCTGGCCATCTCGGAAACCTGGATTGTCCTCGAGGTGAGGATGTTCCTGGCTTCCGTCAGTTTTGTGTGTAGGGGAAAGAATAGCCTTTCCGAGCAGGTGGAAATCATCATGGTCGGCCATGATTTGTGAAAGGAATTTCAAAAATTTGCTTTGATCTTTTAGTTTCGAGGAAAGAAAGATGGGGATATCAGTTTCTCATAGACGGCGCCACTAATCTTACCGGTTGGTCAGAACCTGCAAGGTGGCCACGTAATGATCTGCAGTTGGGTTGTGATGTCGAGGAGGAAAAAAGGGGGGTTGTACCTGTAAGACACTCTGGCGATCAAGTAAGAGTGGGAGCAATGAGATACAAGCAAAGTATTAATGTATTGGTGGTGAATAGTGAATATTCGATACCTGACCCTCACAAGTGTGAGGGCTTATATAATGCCCCTGACGCATGGCCATTAGTTCCTATTTTTGGGTATGGATATGCGGGTCTGTAAAAATAGATAACTGCCAGGACTTGGTCAAACCAGGAAGATGTGCCTGTAACTAGCCGTTGGTTCCGAGGAGGAGGTAAGTTAAGGGCAGCGGTCTGGTTGGTTCCTGGTTGTATGCACGACTTAAGGTCGGGCAGACTGACAGGTGCTCGTCGATCACCTTAGGTCAGTGTCGGCTTGGGAGGGAAAAGGGTCGATATTGTCTGACGGAGAGCGTGGGGGTTCGGGCCATAGACGTATGAACCGTACCGAAAGAAAGGGTTAGATTGGGCCCATTCTAGCTGTCAGGTCAGTCCATAACACAATCTAAGACGTTTTTTTTTGTAGTAAATTATGAAGTTGACTTTAAATGACGTGACGTGTAACATGGCATGTCACGTCAGCTTCCGTTACACCAAATAGACGACGGAGATCAAAATTGTAGACGAAAATGTTTAAGAGAACTATTTTTTTAAGAAAATTTTTATAAGAAAATTTTTATAGAAACTAAAACTACATTTTTAATTATTTATATTTAACTCTAGTTTAAAAATAATAGCGTTAAATATGTTTTTGATCCTTATAAATATTTCAAATTTCATTTTTAATCCCTATTAAAAAAATGATAAATTTTGGTCCCTAAAAAATTTTTGTTCATCCAGTTTTAGTCGCTGCTATTTTCTAAAATTTTAAAAACTGTTTAATTACCCTTAAACTTTTAAATTTTTGAATAATATTTTTCATACGTGTTTAGAATACTATAAAATATTTTTTTATCAAATTTTAAAATTTTTTAAAATAAGAAGAATTAAATATGATTTTTTTTTTTTTAAATTTCAAAAGATATTGATAAAAATAATGAAAATCTCGATTTAGAAATCAAATTTTAAATTTCTTTTTTTCCAAGGAACTTTTTATAACGTTCTAAATATTTCTACAAAATAATCATTCAAAAATACACATTGGTTTAACAACAAAGACTAAAATTACGTGTATAATAATTTTGTAGAGACTAAAACTTGTCATTATTTTAATAAAGACTAAAAATGAAATTTGAGATATTTATAGGAACCAAAGACATATTTAATCTAAAATAATATAGCAATAGTGTAAAATGAGATGTTATCATACTTCCATTACTCATCCTTCAATAATTATGCTAAAATAAACTGATATTTTTCTTCTTTAAAAAAGTGTGAGAGAATAGCACTCTTGTGGAACTTTTTGTAGTGGAAAATAATGATAACATTGGTTTGATTAGAGCCAATTAGTTACTACCTTATCCATAAAGTTGGAGATTAAAGATGAGGAGTGCAGTGCAGTGCAGTGCATTTTGTAACGTGTGACATAGCTAATATAATTTTCTCATCCATCAAGATTAGCTACAAAATAGACAAAAAAGTTGTGTTCATGATCATATACTTATTATGGTTGTGGTGGAGTAAGCATGCTAATGCACAAGTTGATCATTTGAAGCCTGGTGATACTTTGAATATGTCATCCTCTTTATATTCTAAACAAGGCAAGCATTATCTTACTTTTAATTATGTTTTTGGTTCCAACGAGGAGACATACTTGTGTGTACTTTCTAGCGTTAATGTACAAAATTATCTAGTGTGGCTGTATGATAGAAATCATCCAATAAATTCAGATTCACCAGTTCTATCACTAAGCCACTCTGGAGTACTCAAAATTGAATCAAAAATTAGGAAACCACTGATCATTTACTCTTCACCACAACCGATTAACAACACTGTGGCTACTATGCAACACACAAATCTTGTACAACTTCTTGGTTGTTGCATTCATGAAGAAGAAAGGATTCTAATTTATGAATATATGCCAAACAAAAGTTTGGATTTCTATCTATTTGGTGAGTAATATGATCAATTGGAGTCTCTTCTGTAGTTTCTTAACTAAAATATTTAGTAATTTTTGACAAAAATATTCGTTTTAGTTTGCTACTTTTGAATATTGTTAAATAATTCTAACATGAGATATTATGTTTCCACTTGAAAGACTCAACAAAAAGATTGGAAGAAGCGGTTGAACATTATTGAAGGAATTTCTCAACGATTACTCTATCTTCATAAATACTCAAGACTAAAAATCATTCATAGAGACTTGAAAGCTAGCAAGATACTTCTTGATGAAAATATGAACCCAAAAATTTCTGATTTTGGTATGACAAGAATATTTAACAACAAGAATTCATAGTAAATATCAACAGGATTGTTGGGACGTAGTGAGTTTTCTAAAGTTTATCTGTCTAATATTTTATTGATGATTACATAAATAAAATATTTTTGAGATTATTGTACAATTTTGAATGTAACGGATACATGTCTCCAGAATAGAATATGTAATTGAAGGAATTTGTTCAAGTCTAATGTTTATAGCTTTGGAGTGTTACTACTTGAAATTGTTTGCAGAAGGAAAAACAATAGTTTTTATAATGTTGATCGTCCACTAAATTTAATAGGACATGTATGTCAAATTTATTTATTTTTTTGTTTTTCAAAATATTTATTCCATGTTCCTAGTTTGATTAAACTACTACAACAGGCATGGGAGCTATGGAATGATGGTGATTATCTAGAGTTAATGGATCCAATATTAAGCGACTCAGTTGTTGGCGATGAAGTGAAAAGGTGCATTCATGTTGGTCTGTTATGTGTAGAACAAAATGCAAATGATAGACCTACAATGTCTGATGTTATATCGATGTTAACAAACAAATATGAACTTGTTACCTTACCAAGAAAACCAGCATTCTATGTTAGAAGAGTTATCTTTGAGGGGGAAACAACTTTTGAAAACCAGCATTCTATGTTAGAAGAGTTATCTTTGAGGGGGAAACAACTTCAAAAGTGACAGACACTGACACCTCCTATTCCATGACCGCAATCTCTACCCTGTCTAAAGTCGAAGAAAAAATATAATTAAGTCATCATTGTATGTTCATACACTCATATGAAACAAATTTTATTCTTTGAAGTCTTAGAATATGCAAGCTATAATGTGTATACGTTAAATAAAGGTCTAAAATTTTTCCATATTTGCTTTCACCAATAATACCAAATAACACTAGTGCACTCGAAAACTATGACTCATTCAGCTGATTCCATTGCCAAAATCATCAGAAATCTGACCCGATTAAAGAAGATTAAGAGTAAAGTAGAATTGATACATAGTGTAGAATTAGACACTTTTATGAGAGACATATCACTTGTTAGAAATTTGGGTATGATAATCCTAGATAACTTCGAAGAATCGTGTTCGTACACTTTCCGAACAAAGTATTTCGACTTTATTCTTGCATGGGTTCACGAAATCTTTATGGGGATAATTCTTGAAGAACAATCTGTTTCTGGCAAAAGAAAACTGATTACAAATGTAGAGAGAAAGTATTGTTTTTCGTTCGTCTCTGAAACCGAGGCCAAATGACTCCTTATATAGGAGATCAATAACTGAAACCGAAAAGACACACCTGTTCGGAAAAACGGTTATGTCGATTGGGACTTCGCCCCTTGGAACCCCAATGGGGCGCTGCCCCGTACCCCGCTAGGGGCTTCGCCCCTTGGAACCCCGTTTCAATTATTCATATTCAATTATGCATTGGCTCGACGAGCGTGCACTCCGCACTTCCCTAACTCGTTTCCGAACTTAACGCATAATTGCATCGGCCTTTGGTAAATCACATTACTACTAAAATACATTGGTGATACTAAAATCACCAACACCACTTATCCACCTAAAACCTTAAGGTGATAGGTGAGTCGGTTCTCCCACTTATACATGCTTAAGTCTCCACATTCCTATTCAATGTTGGATTATTTCTCCACTTACTCACACTTGCTATATTATTCCAACACTGTATAGCAGCAAGCAAAAAGTAAGTTATTAATTTATTGGGTGATATTTAAGTTATATCGTATCGTATCCACATAGATTGGTTATTGAATCGTCATTTGACAATTCTCTCGTTAATGAGTTTGGGGATGAATGAATTTGTAAAGAAAATGTTATCAATAGAAAATAAATGTAAACAAAAGAAAAAACTAAGTAAGAACTTATCAAGTCTGCATATAATCTACTCATCACAAACTTAAATCTATCGACCAATTACATCCAATCTAACAATACTCATCAATGTCATTACGTATCACTCACAATCTAAGTCATTTCTAACCCAAATCGAGAGATCGACTATATCACCAAGAAAATAATCTTTCTACCTCCTCAACATAACAGAAGACAACTATGTAATCTCACTAATGATCTCTCAGCACAGCACAACCACACAGGGGCGGGCATTAAGCTCTGATACCCAAGTAGATGTCAGCTCTAAATATATCTCTAGAGTTCAGAAACTAACAAATAATCATCCTAGATAAGAATCTAAGCATTATATGTCTATAACAACTTAAATCTCAAGCACAGAGCAAAAATCTAAGACAACAATCCACAAAGATTTGTAAAGCAAGTTTAATATAACGTCATGGGCGACAAATATACATATGATCAGAGTAAATACATACAAAACCTAACAAAGGAGAAATATATTAAGAGGAGAAGAGATAAACCACAAATCTTCCATTTTGTCAGAGTCGGTCAACAAGCAATCCACCCCGGATCATCCGTATGCAAGCCTTAGTGTTGTTATCTAAGCTAATCCACTACAAAAATAAGGTGGATGGAATTGGGAGAACAAAAATCACCCCTAAAACCATCACCCTTCAAAATGAAATGAAATTAAATATAAACAAAAGTGTGATCCGCAACCGTCGGCGGATGACACAACTCACGTCGCCCGGCGACGACTTCTATACACTTGGTCCAGAATAAGTCACGTCCTCAACTGAAACAAATATCGTCCATCGTCCGGCGACTCTCCTTATTTTGTCCTGGAAACCAAGACGCGACACAAGGCAGAAACTTCATGGAAATTTGGCCTTCAAATTTCGCCCGACGATGACTTCTATCGCCCGGTGATCCATGGCAGTCCAAAAACTGTTGTTGCTTTCCTGCATAACTTCCTCTGGCTCCAATCTTTCTCCTTATTCCTTATTGATCCAAAAATGCATCTTAGAGATTTATTCCTCTTGCTCCAACAATACTCAAATACCTACAAAATAAATACAAAACTATCAAATGATACACTTTATACAAGAAATGCATTATACACAAACTAAATGTATTTATACACAAAGTTGGCTTATTCAACCGATATTAACAACCAAGAGTCGATAAGTGCAACAAAAAGTATATACAAAAATAACTACAATTTGCACTTATCATAAGTTTAGAGGCATGCATGACCCAGCTTAAAAGACCTATCTCAATCTTAAGGTTATGTGTTAGTTCCATAGTGTCTCACACAAAAACAAAATGACAAAGGATCATCTAAACATACATACACTAGGGATTAGGGCGGGACGGTTAGAGTTCACCATCTATGTATTACCATTGAATTTTTGTGGTAGTTTATTTATATACTATAATACCCTAAGTTTCTCTGAGTACATCATTATTCATTAAAATAATCGAATTAATGTTTAGTGAAAATTATTATGAGTTTCACATCGAATATAGTCTGAATAAGTGGGGGTAATCCTCATCCTACAAGTAGGTTTTATAGAGTTGAGTTAGGCCCAGCCACATTTCTTAACATGGTATCCAGAGCCTACTAAGAGACAACCCTTTACCGTGTTTTACCCGGTTGACCCACAGTCTTCTAGTGAGAAATTTTTGGTAAATTGTGTCATAACTTTAGTTTTCCTTCCATACACTATCGTGACTCATATCGGCATCAGTTTTCAAATTTCTCCAGTCACTTCCGCCGCCGCAACTATTTCTTGCAACGTTCCAGCAAACTAACCCTACTGGAAGAAGCGTCTCCTCCAATTCGATCGATCCCGATGATTTTTCCATCGCCCCACTCGCCACCGTGCAACTTCTAGATCTGGTCTCAGATTTTATTTTCCACTAACGGAAAACTGTGATCCAATTCAAACAGATCCTTTTTCATCTGGTTCGTGTGATATTTTCTCTTTTCGGATACTCATGGCTACTCCTCAAAATTTTATACCAAACTACGAAGATTTCCTCATGTGGTATCAGAGCCTCGTTTAAGGTGGGGTTCCGCTATCAGGCCACCCACCATTTATTTCCATGCTTCAGTTGTCTAGTCCTAGGCGTGAAGGGGTATGTTAAGAGTCTCACATCAAACAATATATGGTATGAACATGTCTTTATAAGTGGGGGCAATCATCATCCTATAAACCAGTTTTGTAGGATTGAGTTAGGTCCAAACAAATTTCTTAACAAAAATATTAGGAGTTAACTAACCCTAGTCCCTAGTGAGAGAAAAGAGTTGGAATTATGAGGAAAACTTCATCCATTTGGATTTTATAATTAACTTGCAAAATGGCCATGTTACCCTTGCAACTTAAACCAATTCGCTAACATTGAAGGATTGAATAAGAATAAAGATTGAAGGTGAGGCGATTGGAGAAGAAGAAAAAGAATAAAAGGGAGTCCTTGATTAAGAAGAAGTCTCCTTGCATGTTCAAATAATTGTGAAAATTGAAGTGGAAACAAGCTAACAGGGGATTTTTCTTCAAGAAAGCATCATCTTTTCTCATCAACTTTCAATTTTCAGGTTTTGAAACTTTAAGGTGGGGTTCTAATCCTAGGTCTTGACTGGATTAGCACCAATAGGAATGCATGATGTGAGTTTTTGGATATTTTTCCTTGATGAAACCATGTATGATGATTTCTCATGATGTTTGTGTGAATGGTTGTTTAGCTTGGTATGGAGTATGTGGATAACAATGTATGAACTTGATGATTTTTGTTCAAATGCTTGTGTGTTATTCTGGCATGAGCAATGCCCTACAATGTTGGTGAAACGTGATTTTATTGCATCAAAGTTTGATAAAATGATAATGATGTTAGTTGCTCTTGTTAGTATGAAAACTACTAGTATTTATTAGGAGATTCTAGAAAGAATCGATGCATGCCCTAGTTGACATGTTTACTAGTCATTTTCTCCTGATTCAATCATGTTTTTGTGAAATTATGGTTGGTCTTAGACTGAATGAAAGTACCATATTCTTAGGGGGTGAAAAACCTTGTTTTTCTAGTTTAGACACGGCCTGTGTCCACTCACGGTGTGGTCGCGTTCCCCTCTAAATTTGTATAGGGGTGTGCTTGGGCCTGGCACGGTCGTGTTGGCCAGCACGCGCATGCCATGTCCTCCTATGTTTTTTGTATGAAGGGGTGTGCTTCCCTAACAGGGCCCGTGTCGCTGAGCACAGGTGGACCGTATTGGCCCATGACCTCTTCAATGTTGTGTTTTTCTCTCAAAGGGTAATCTTCAATATGATGTCCCTTGACTCTATGGAACTTTCACCATTTTGTGGGTTTAGATCCCATCACATCGACCTTGGGAGCACGCGGTGTTGGGTGTGCAGCTGGAATACCTCGTTCCAGGTCTGTTCTCGGCGGGTATTCAGAGGCGTGAATCTTTTTGTCGCCTTTCCGACTTTTTTAAACACGGACTTTTCCTTCACAAGTGAGATGTGATTGTTTTTCCTTTGAGAGTGTGAGCTCTCGACGTCGGGGACGCGTTACTTTATGTCGCCAGCCTTATTTTCATTGTAACTTTCCTCGCCTTTGATGCATCATAACACCCTAGCGACTACTTCATCCAATGTGAGTGTCAGTTTCAAGTCGAGGGACTCATTAAAGTGTCACTCCTTAAGTCCATTTCGGAATGCTCCCACGAACATTTCTTGGTTCAGAGGGACAACAAGATGGTAGCTTCATTGAAGCGTGCGAGATGGTCCCTCAACGATTCTAACGGACCTTGGCGAATGTTAAACGGGGTGGTGGTGGACATCTTCCTGTGGTGACTAGCGGAGAACTGGTGTACCAACTTTTAATACTTGCTAATAGAGGCACGGGTACGCCCATGTACTATCTAAGGGTGGCATCCCTGAGAGTTCCTAACAACAACTTACATTTTAGAGAGTCTGGCGCTCATACGATGGTCATCTACATGTTGAAGGAGGCTACGTGCTTGTAGGGATCGCTACGTCTATCAAACTTAGACAAGGATGGAGATTCAAAACCTTAAGGGACATGGGCTCCTCATATTTTATCTGAGAGCATATGAGGATCCAATAGTTCCACTTCTTCCGGGGAATTGACCTCCTATTGGCGCTATCTGTGATTATGGACATCATATTCCAACGTCTGGTTATAGCGTTGTAGTTCATCCATGGCAGAGTGTATCTCCTCCATAGCATCGATGTCACCTATACCGCTAGTACCTTTAGGCGTATGGGATGAAGCTCTCCTGTTGACCATGGCAAAATGTTCCTAGGTGTACTAAATGAGGGTACGGCGGGAAAATGGGTGGTGATTAAAAAGATGTGTGGCTCGGGTTAGTTTTAGTGGAGCCCCACGATGGACGCCACTTTACTGGTCAAGAAGTATATGCATGTTTGCTTCCCTATAAGGGAATGGAGAATCAGAGGCCTTAGTATGTGTATAACAGGTTTTGATGGTGATGGCTTACTCACGATGGCGAGAAGTCTGATGTTTGAGGCTATTTAAGAGACCAATTCACGTGAGGTAAGATTCTATGGTAGTGGTCGGCGTTGTTTGATTACAAAGGGGCGATTAGATTAGTCGTGTATGTTAAGGCGGTGACAAGTATAGTGCTCTTTAAGTTGTGGGCAGTGTGTATGATTTAGAGTCTGTACTTTTTCCCTTGAGGGGTGAGATATTTATTTAGGCCTCTTTGAGCCAAGGGTTTTTACCCCTTCTCGTGGTATAAACCACTCCCCTCTTATTAGAAGAGGTTATTGACCACTTATCTTTTAGGAGTCACTAGAGACTTCCTCTTCCTTGACTCCCACGTTTACGGAGGCCCTTGGACGAATCCCTTAGATTCCACCTGGGCAGCACAGTTAGGAGCGAGGGCGCCTTAGTATAAGATTTTACAAATATAACACTACAAACTTCTAGCTTCATTGTGGATATGGCACTACATTCTTGAATCGCCGCAATGACATGATCAAAATGAGAGGTCAAAGTTCTCATCATCTTCTCAATGATCATTTTGTCTGTCATTGTTTCACTGAAACCTTTCATCAAGTGAGCAAGATTTTGTACCTTAAACACATAGGGCACAACTTTCTTATTTTCTCCCATTTGTAGTAACTCATATTGCCTTGGTAAAGACTGTAATTTTACGCTTTTGACTTTTTCACCTCCTTCGTACTATTTGACAAGAATGTCACATGCCTCTTTCATTGATTCAACATGAGCTACTCGATCAAAATTGGAACTGTCAACTACTGATTGAATGCAAAATGACACCTTACAATCTTTCTTCTCGAGTCCTTGTGAAGCGCGCACTGAGCTTCAGTTGTATTTGTTGCAAGCTCTGCAATGACATTGATAACCACCTCAAGATTATCTTGAAAGTCAAATAGAGACTTCATCTACTTACGTCAACGGTCTCAGTTCTTACCATCAAGATTTGAAAGAGAATGTGGAATGTCATTACCACCATTCAACATCGAAGTAGATGTAATCACCAACCTAGAATACTCGACTCTTCCACACGCAAACCAAAGAGTTCTAGATAATAATTTATTAGTCTAAATTTTATAGTTGCACTCAAATATAAGAGAAAGATAATTGAAAAAGTAGTAAAGATGAAAGTGTAAAAATGGTTAAATAATATATTAACTTAGTGTATCAAAATATTACAACCAAAGTGTTTATATACAACATGTGAGGTTACTTAAGTGTAAAGCAACTAACTAACTACCACATTTAACCACCTTCTAACTGATTCTAACGATCATACTACTTAATGTTGAATTTACTCGCGACAAATAAAAAAATATATATAATATGAATAATAATGAAAAAAAATGAATAGAAAGAAAAGAAAAATAATATAGCATGAAGTATAGTGATAGAAATAATAATAATATAATATAGTATAAGTTATGATGATATAAAAAAAAGTTCGAAAAAGTCCCATTTATTTGAGTGAAACTGATAATATATGTATTTTTAACTAAAAAGTTTTTTAAATTTATTCCACTTGAAAATCTATTAAATTAGTAAATTTTTTAGAATTTAATGGATATGCAGTAATAATGAAAGTGTAAAATAAATTTATCATTCAATAATTAACTAACAATATGTTATATCATCTAAATAATTGTAAAATATAAAAGTGGTTTAATAAAATATACATTATTTATTGATTGACGGTATCAAATTACTTTAAACTGCATTTTCAATTTTTTCAATTTTTTTAATATCAATAAATATTTTATAAAATATGAGAAATTTAAATTTAATATAACGAATTTTGTTACTTTAATTTTTTTTTTGAAATTGTCTTAATTGAATATCACAAAATTTATATTAATTATTCATCGTTAGTAGTCTAATGGTGATTGACGTTGAATTTAGTAGGTAGAAATACAATTCGATCATCGCATTTACGATCGAGAGAAAACTGAAATCACTTGATATCAGAGCTGATCTTCGAATCAGATTGTACTGTGATAAAAACCAAAAGAAAAAAATTATATTAATTTTATAAAAATCATAATCGAATAACACAAAAGTTTATCATAAAAAAAATCTTGTAAAATCGTTTGAAATTCTAATCCTGGAAATTACTTTTATACATAACTGTTTCATAGTAAATTTAAATCATGGTAATATCCTTAAGAATATACCAAGAACATGCACATGATATTTCCAGTGTTGAAACAAATACAAGAAAGTCCAAAGGTCTCTCTTGGTTATAACAACATAATAGCATTCAACACACTATAGTAAACATCGTCCATCAATATTCACCAAACTTCTTTCAGAACTATATTTTCCATTTCATAAACTTGTGTGTCACACTTGAGTTTCTAAGTCATGGATGCTACTCAAACAGAAAAAATATATGTTGCAGTTGGCTATGATGTGCTAGATGGATTTCAAACATTGGATTGGGCTCTCAAAAAATGGAATTCTCATCCAAATATTTCTATTATCATTTTACATGTCAAATACAACCCTTCCAATCATCATGTTTATACACTCCGTAAGTCTGACGTGAAGTCTGTCATGTGCTTATTTTTAGGTCTGTGACTGATCTTCAAATGCCTGATATTGTGTAACTTCGTTACAGTTGGAAAACTCCCTGCAAAAGGAGCATGTGAAGAGAAACTAGAACGTATAAGGAACTATGAGCAAAACATTATCAACAATTTGCTTTCCAAGTATATAGCTTTATGTGATAAAGTAAGGAAATCAATTAATTTTAGTGTTTCTATAAACTAACAAACTCAAATAATTAAAATAATGGTTTCTATATCATATTGTGTAGGTTCCAGCTGAAACATTTGAGGTTGAGAAATTTGATAAACCAATGCAAAATCTCACTATAGATTTGATCCTTGGTCTTGGAATAACGAAATTGGTCATTGGATTTTCATTCATGAGACCTTCCATGTATTCTCTCTATCTCTATTTCTATGAGTTAAATATGATTTTGGTATCTTATATTTTCGTCATTGTATAGGAAATCGAAAGATGCCATGAACGGATTGTTCTACGTTCATCAGCACAAACCGGATTTCTGTGAATTGTTCATTATCTGCGGAGGGAAGCAAGTTTCACCGAGAGTGAAAAACGATGAGATAACCATGGAGGATGATAGCGGCGTCAAGGTTGCCAAAATGAGAGATTATAAGACGAATTTTAAAGATTGTATAGTGAGAATATGTTGTGATAAAAGTACTATTGATTCCAACCAAGGGTGTTCTAGCAGATCATCGACAAGTTCGGAGTCTCAGATTGATCAAAATGAGTGGGAATTTTATATCCGAGAAATCGATAATTATTTTCAAGAGTTAGTGTCCTTAAATATGGAGGAAGGAATTTATGGACAAGATGATGATGATTCTTACTTTAGTCCAATTGAGCCATTTGTCCAACAACTTAAAAACTCTCATAATAAGGTAACTAAAACTAGAATGCTTCTTTTCTCATCTTCAATGTCACTTTCAAAGTATACTTATTAGCCATATTTGGTACCAATTCAGAGTGGTGCAGAGAAACTTAAGATCCTCATAGATAAACTGAATGAAGCTTATGATACAATCCAAATGAAAAGAAAAGAAGAAAAGGAGAATTTGGAGAGACACGCAAAAGCTGAATGGGCGTTTTATATATCCAATCTTCGGGTAATAATATTCAAATTATACTGCAATTAGTTGTTGTCAAACTTAAAAGTTAGTTGAGATATCGGCTAATAACTCTCAACAGTGATTCTCTATTCTTCAAGTGATTGCGTTGAGGGAAGAACTCTGTCCCTCGACTATAAGTTCATTGACGGCTCCATAGAGCGTTAAGTACAATGTGTGAGGATGTTGAACTATTAAAACTAAGAAATGCATAAAAGTAGTTTGGTTGATGGATGTGTTGATGATTAACAAATTGTGATTTTTACAGAGGAAACTATCCTACTAGCAGTAGAATTATGACCTACAGAAATGTTGCCTCATTTGACTTCTTTTTTTTGTGTAATGAATTCTGAAACATTATCATATTTGTGTCGAGATATAATTTCGGTATCATAAAAGCTATGATTATTTTCAGGAAGAAGAACTTGAAAATCTAAAAAATGAAGAAGTGGCAAGAAAGGAAGAGCTAAATAAGGAACTAAATATTGAAAAAGAACAAATTCAAATAATCAAAATGGATATTGAAGATATCGAGCAAAGTCTTAGCTCAATGGAAGAGTTACAACTAGAGCTTCAAAATAAACTTCATGATTCCACATTGGAAATTTCAGAATGTGAAACCGAATTCGAGAACATAATGGCTGAAAGAACAAAGATGTTAATGGAAATAGAGGAGCTAAGTAGACAAAGAGATGTGTTGAACAAAACGATTATGTTTTTCAAAGAAAAAGATGGCAAAGAAATGTGCAATAAGCTAACAGAGAAGAGTTGTTGTTTAGAAGAGTACACAGAGGAAGAGATCATCATGGCTACCAACAATTTTTCAGAATACTTAAGGTTGACATCTGGTAGGGATTGGAGTAATGTTTATAGAGGAAACATTAATAACTCAGATGTTACAATCATGATGATTGATTCTACTTTTGCCTTGTCCCAACAAGATTTCCAAGCTAAGGTAAACAAGCAAAATAATTTTGGCTACTTTTTAGTCAAATAGTCTAGTGGTTGGAATTTCACTCTATAAAAGTGAATAAGTGGCATGTCGCGAGGTTCTAGTGGTTGGAATTTCACTCTATAAAAGTGAATAAGTGGCATGTCGCGAGTTCAAACTCGCGTCTCTGCAATCTGATGTCCCTGTACAGCTATCAACTGAGCTGGTTCAACGGGACAAAAAATTGTAATTAGAATTTTGACCTTTTGTTTATACATAAGTAGTGATTGTTTCATACTATATCAAAATTATATTCTTTAAATTGTAGGGACCTTTTCTGAAGTTATAATTTGTTGTTTATAGTTGATGTATCTTTGTAATATTCGGCATCCTCATCTGGTCGCCGTATTGGGCTTCTGTTCGGACCCGAAATGCTTAGTTTTTGAATACATGCACAATGGCACCTTGGAAGAGGCCCTACTTTGCAAGACAACAAGGGGCGTAAGCTATCAAGATTGCATAAGGATAGCCAAAGAAGTTTGTTCTGGGATGGGCTTTCTCAATACACTTCAGCCCAGGTCCATCATTCATTGTCACATTTCTCCATCCAACATCCTCCTTGACAAAAACCTTGTTGCAAAGGTGGCTGGGTTCGAGCTTCATGGATGCAACGAAGAATGTAATGTAAAGTCAGATAAGAAGGCAATAGGAGTTTTGTTGTTGCATCTATTGACTGGAAGAGGAAATTGGACAATCGATATGGAAGCTTTTTCTGATGAGATTGGTGATGAATGGCCATTTGATGTTGCAAGAGAAATTTTGGAGTTAGCAATAAGGTGCATTTCCAGTGAAGAAATGATCATAACAAGAGTTATGAAAGAACTCAATGAGATCAAAGGAAAGGGTTGTGACTCCATTAAAGTTCCTAACAGTTTCCTGTGTCCAATCCTTAAGGTTAGCCTCCTAATCAAATTTAAATATATTCTGTCGTGATATATTGCGATTTTGGTTATGGTTTAACTTAAGGTTTAAACTTTGGTGCAGAAGGTAATGAGAAATCCGCACATAGCAGCAGATGGATATTCTTATGAGCTAGAAGCAATAGAAGAGTGGTTGGATTCTGGAAACAAAATATCACCTAAAAGCTTGAGGCTCGACAATACATTACTTTTCCCGAATCATAACCTTCGTTCCCTAATACAGTACTGGCATAGTAACATATCAGCAACAAATAAAAGAATTATCTATTGATTACAAAAATTATGTATAAGTAATCAGTGCTATACATTATATTTCCTATTTAGTATACTGTAATTCAATCCGTCTATATTTTTTTATTCTTCATGCTACTTCCATCTATGTTGACTCACAAGCTGAATAGAGTAACTCGACAGAAAACTTTGTAATCATACTCCTAACTACTTTGCCCAACAGAAACATCTAGCAACTTTCCTTGGCAACGAATATGCAGACGCCAGCGAGGGATCAGTCGCAATGTCTTGAGGTTGCATCCATATATACTCCGCTCGTTCTTGAGCATTTCTTGGTACTGTGTTTTCCAGTATGAATGCCACCAACATTGTAACCACCATGTTTAAGGACATAAGGGCATTGATTGCAAAATCAAGCTAACACAAATAGGACAAGTTAGCTTAACTTCATAAAAAATAAGCCAACTAGTAGTTTTGGGATCCAAATTTTAGGCAATGGATGTCATCATAGATAAGTGCTTACTTGTTTAATTCCTGAATGAAATGGTCCGCTAGAAGCAGCTACATAAGGAACCAGATAAGAGGGCAATATCAAACTGGTTTGAGGCTGGTATTGTTGAATGTAGGAAGGGATTGATAGACCAAGGAACAATGAAACACCAACTATTTTTATCTTCCTGAAGTTTCCAGATTGACCATACTGTAATGTTGAGAGGCCTAATGCGGTAATAAGGGCCCATATGAAACATAGTACTGATGCAGCTAATGCCTGTGGAATAGAAGCTAGAAGAGCACCCACCTTTCCTATAAAGAAAAAGAGCATAGAAATTGAGAGTTTATTTTCTACTTTTAGTTACAAAAATACTACATAATTTCACTACGATTCATGTCTTCAGTTTTGTTGCTATACCGATAATTGAGAAGAGGATCATGAAGGCTGCTCCGAGTTCCACTACCCTCCGACTTGCAACCCTTGTTATGTCGATTGTGTGAACATTTTCAGTCAGCGTAGTTGAACCAGTTCCTGAACCCCAAAGACCTGCCAATATACTACAGAAACCCTCCAATGCAATTCCACGGCTCACAACTCCCGGGGTTGGAGGCTTCAAATTAATTCTCAGAGATGCACTATGATAAGTTCCAACCTACAAAATGAGCATACCATTCACATAAATTCATTTGAAAGTTTAAACGTGATTTTTCATAGACCGAAATCTCTGTTCACTATTTAAGAAAGTCCACAATGATAATGTACTTACAGAATCCACGGAGGCAACCAGTGAGACTACGACCATGATTATGCAAGTCCTAAAATGAAAAATCGGTAAACCCCATTGTAAAGGGTAAGGAAATCTGATCCATGAAGAAGTTGACAATGCATTTGATACATCAGTCCTGCAATGCTTCATTGTATACGCATGCTTTTTGCATGCATCAATCAGAATGTTTGAACTAGGGATGTTCGGATCACATCCTTTGTAGTTATAAGCTCCCCCGGCTGTTAAAAACGATGCATATATCCAAATTATCGTAACACTTAAAGGAACCTGCAAATATTAAAGCGCGTCAACAGAATTTGTTAATATATAGGTAATGCAGCCACTATGCAGTCGGAGATGTCGCGTATTCCCGCGTGTTTTCTGTTACGGTTTTTCCTATCTTTGTTGACGTTCTAAAAAAATATCATGTCTAAAAAAGTCAATCGAACAAGTGACATCTTAATTTATATACTTACAGCATAAATTCGAAACAAGTGGTGTCCAAAGATAGATATTCTGCGAAGATGCTTCAAATAAGAAAAATAGGAAACATTGATATGAGTTTCAAAACAACTGATGAAATCACTTAATGGTCGGGTCACGAGGACTCACCAGAGTGAATATAAGAACCAACACTATCAATGGAATGCTGATTTCAATGCAAGTGCCAGCTTGTGGAAATCCATAGCTGAAGAATGCTAAACCTACAGCAGCAACAGTTGGAGCCACCACAATTGGGTTGATTACCCTACAACAAATTAGTAGTAAAATTGCAATGAATGAACACAAATAGTTGAGTGCTAAGTCTTGATAACTTTCTTCTGAGGATGTTCAGTCGCCTTTATGACCGTTTCATTCACCAAATATTAATATCACATGCGATGCAGCTTCTTGTTACCTGAGAAGAATAGACATTAAACCACTAAATCCAAGAACACATTGGAATATTGAACCAACAATTATAGCTCCTTGAAGTTCCCTCATTATGTGCCGAAATTTCTGCAGTTATAACAAGACAATATTAATATAAAAAAACCAGAAACAGTCCTAAGCAACAATCAGTAGAAAAACCAAAGTTAACTGTGACTTACATGGTGTGTAAGATTTCGAAACTCTTCTGAATTTATGATAACTAATGCCGGAGCCAAATACACAAAGGAGCTTCCTTGAACTAAAGGAAGTCGAGTTCCAAAGTACAAATGCAGTATTGTTGTGGCGCCAGAAAGAAACAGCATTGTAGAAATTACCTTAGCAGTATCGTTCTGCCATCATTGACGCAAAAGTGAATACATACGAGCATGGGAAAAAGTCAATTTTTCTTTTACATAATCAAAGCATTAACCGTTACATAAAAGCGCGAACGCTTACGTCCGTTCCACCCATTGTCGGCACCATTACTAACGGAATAAACACTAACGAGCCAATCAATGATAGGTAGTGCTGCAGGCCATAGTAGATAAGAGGTACTGCAGTTAAAGATGCTATAATGTAAGATATCAATTTTTCCACACAAATTTGAGTTAAGCCGACCATACTATTTTGAGAACTGTCCAAAATTAGCCTTTTGTTTTTTTTTACTAAACTGTAAGAAACAGAAATATAATTTAAACTAACCAAAACCAGGATTTCCGGTTAGTCCATACTTCATTTCAGAAGGTCTATGCCGCCCTCTATCAGCAGGTTCCTCTCCTTCTGCATACAGATTCACCTTAACTTCTCCTTCAGTTACACCTTCCTCTTTCTTCTTTTCTTCTGGAAGTGGAGTAACTGCAGAGACTCCAAGTCCATGACCATTAGTCTCACCATTCCCTCTCAAATCAATTTTCTTTTCACCATAATCCAAAGCATAGTTTGGCCTAAAAAACTTGTCTTTTTCACTCCTTCTACTACCTCCATGCTTGGACTCAGAATCCAGCTCAATCTCGCTGTCCCGGCTTGGCCTCGCTACCCCGAGAACTGGATCAATCTCTATCTTAGGAGAAGACCCTCCTCCTTCTTTATGATCATAACCTACAACAACACTATCAAAATTCTGACTTGCACTAGTACCAGCTTCACCCGAGTAATCAGACACAAACCCAGTTCTCTTGGCCCAAGTCTTCAACTCTTTAGGATTATGATCTCTTCTAGGAACAAAAGGTTCAATTTTGATACCATTACTAGAATATTCCTTCCTTTTGCTATTGCCACCCCTTTTAATCCTCCCCTTATCTAAATTTTCCGAGCTTAACCCAGTTTCCATTTTAGCTTTTTTCTTGGAAAATTCCATTGAAAACTCAAAAATATTCAACCCAGTATAGTGCAAAGAAAAAAGATAGTAGCTTTAAAACGAAAAGAAGCATGAGGCTTCACACTACAGCAAGGGAAAAAATAAACTCCAGATGAAGAGACAGAGAGTAGAACTTAGAAGCAAAGGTACAGTGAAAATGGCGAAAAGCTTAACTCAATGCAGCTTACATGTTTCTATCATAAGATGTGTGAGAGACAATTTTTGACATGTTTGATGTTGACAGTGTAACAAGCTGATTTAGGAGGTGAATTCTTAGATGGAAAGTGTCTGAATCTTAATTTTGTTGTTTGTTTTTTTATTGGTGGAAAGTGAAAACTAATACTAAAACAACGTGGGACTCTTTACTTCTAAATGAAGTTTCAACTAGTAACTATTTTTTTTAGAGCAAAAAATATTTGTGATTTTCGGAACCTCTGATCTTTCCAAAAGGACAGTGCGAGCAAGTCAACATCCACTTACTATGTGCTTCATTAGTTACTTGACTTGAGTTTTAAGAATCAAAGTGGAAATGTTAGTCATAATAACAAGTTAAGATGAGTATGATGTAACATATCACTCTTCAATTGTTTAAAACCTTTCATGATTTTATCCCCTTTGTAAGTCACCAAAAAGTAATATATTAAAGCTGAATGATACAAATGATGCATTCAAACATCGATCAATAATGAAAGGAAAAAATTGTTTATATTCACACACAGTATATATATTTTTTCTTTCAAGATACTATAAATAGTACTGTATTTTAGAAGTTAAGATTGTTTTTGTACAGTCAAAAATAAATACTTTCTCCTATTCTTTGTATGAGAGAAACTTAGTTCAACAAATACCTAATATATTAACATTTTTTATTGTTCCTAAAACTTTTTTCCTGTAGCCATTCCTGGATGTCCGTATTTTCATAATAAAATGAAAGTGAATTCCAAATATTTAAGATTAGTTGAAAACTTAAATGGATTTAATGATATGGGATAATGAAATTTTAAACTATTTGATGTTTATGGCTGAAATTTATTTAGAAAGAGAAAGTTAATGGTGGATTAAAATGAGAATAGAATGAAAAAAAAAAGAAAAAAAAACGTCACTTAAAAAGAAACCGAATGAGTATTGTAATATATTTACAATATTCTAACACTTCCCATCATGTTAATACGAGATCAAACCAAACCAATTAATATCATAACCAATGGAGAGACATAAATAATATCATAACCAATGGAGAGACATAAATAAGAAGAACCGTCGTAGATAGAAGTAACAACCAAAGAATCAAGTTGTTGGATGGTGGAACACATGGGCATCACATCATCAATTTCCTCAAAGTACTTAGAAGATTAAGAATAATCGATGGAGATAATGACTAAAGGCCTAAACAAACTTTTGGACAAAATTAATAAACATACTCAACTTCTAGTTGAACCTAGAAGAAGAAACACTTGAATTAATGAAGTTGATCCAAGATGATGAAGGGCAAATGTGGAACAAGAATTGTAATGTATCTGTGGTTTATTGTTACTTTTGGCACCAAATAAAGATAAGGTCTACCACAGGATTAAGCAAACCAATATTATAAATTAGATATTGTAATGTATCTACTTCAAATTCAAACAAACAAATGTACAATACATAACTAAGTTTTGGCGTAGCAGAAAAAGAAGTAACTTAAGAAAGGACAGCACCAGTCAATAATTAAGCAAATCAATGAACTATCATCTGGGCAAACTCTCCTTACTGCTTAGTTAACCTTACTCCAGCCAAAAATACCGAGAATAACTCTTCATTTTACACATAACCTTCTCAGATTTTTGGGATAAGACCCTTCTACAAAATTAACAAATGATGAAATGGACTTTACGAAATTTCTTTCGGAGCTTATGATTAGCAAATGATGCTAGCTTGGTAATACCTACCTAATTATTATGGTCTTCTATAATCATCTATAACAGGAACAAAACTAAAAACTAAAACCACATTTCAATTATTTTCAACTAATGCAAAAAATTAAAAATAACAGTGATATCTATGACCTATGGCTCTTCTATCCAGATCAACTCTGGTTTTCTATGGCAGCCACAATCATATCATGTATACCTTTAGACAAGATCAAAGTAAATGAAATCAACCCAGCCCATGATTTTCAAAATGCTCTGAACAACTACATTTTTCATGATGTTGTTCGATTCTAAGACAACATAATACCAAACTGAGTAATGCTAATCATGCAGGATTGCATAAAACTTTCTGCAACTATACTACAGTTCATATTAGAGAGATCTGGAAACATTGATTCGAGCTAATTTGCTGAACTAAAACTTCAAAACAATATGTGATTTGCTTGAGTGCAAAAGGCAAATTATAAATCACCTGATGGATGAACTGCATTTCATGCATTCATTACCTTTTCATTTTTTGTCGGTCAAGGTGACACTGTTTCACCAAGACATGACTGAATTCATACTGCCCAATTTTCATAACAAATTCTCCATAGATGATCAAGAAAATGTCAGCTACCTTATTAGAAAGAGATAAAAGAAAGGAAATGCAAAAGGGTGGATGAAGATTCAACACAGCAAGACAAAAGGGAAGGGCAAGAAGGCAAAAAAATGTGATACATATCTTCTTCGGATTAGGCTAAAAAAATCTCATCTTTACAAAATGGTAAACAAAGAAATTAAATGAGACAGAGATGCCAAACAACAATGTGATTTCCCTACAATAAGAATCGAAAGACCTTTTTCCTAAAATATACAAACTTTCTGAACATGTTGTTTTGACAAAGCTAAGTTCTTTCCCCTTTACTTCCCTACCCCTCTTATTTTCCATTTTCAAATTCAAAGCAGATAACTAAACCACAAAGTAGTATAAAGTAACAATGCAATTAGGCAATATCACAACAAGAGGTTTCTATTCCTTTATCAATTATCATCTAAGTGTTCGCAATTAAATAGATTGCACAACGGAAGAGAAATTGAGGGATAACTCTGCATAACCTATTCCGATAAGCCATTCTATTTTCATAACTTCTTCTAACCACTTAAACACAAGTTTGTGTAATAAAATTCTCAACTAATAAACTCTTCTGAATGAAAACAGATTCCCTGCAGTCACACAATCAATGCACTGTGGAACTATTGCATTCAGATAGCAAAATTCGCCAAACATGCAGATGCTAATTTTTTTTCCTGAAAATCCAACATACCAACTGTTTGATCATGATCCAACAGTCATCAATGTGCTGATCGTGAGAAATCAAGGTATCCTAACTAACTTGATCCCTTCTAAACACCTTCTGGCACATTTAGCAAGCTCGTCGCAACACAATTACTGGCAGAAGCATCAACAGCTATTTGCACATGAACATCAATCAAATTATTCCTATACTCAACATGAATTCACTTCGGCCTTCAACCTAACACAACAACAAATCACCTTAGAAAATAGCACAGCTTCAATTCAATCTACAAACAACACGAAAACAACAAAGTAACAATTTCCAATCTTATATCATCAATCAAATTCACAAAATCTATAAAAACAACGGCAATACCCCTAAACAATAAACCCTAACAACGAACAAAATTACAGATTAAAGTATCCCAACTGTTACAACAAACATCCACAATTTTGTAACAACAGCATATAGACAGGGTTTCCGGTGACGGTGACGGTGACGGTTACAGAGCAGGTGAAACAGAAAGTAGTCGGGCGAGACGTTGTTGTTGAAGACGGTACCGGCGTTTGAGATAACCTTCAAGAATTTCCATAACAGACAAGAAGCGCTTCATCTCATGAAGACGGCGCGTGAGCTGCGCTTCACGCGCTCTGGCGCGAGCGAGGCGAGCCTCCGTGTCGGCGAGGCGAACGCGGAGGTTTTCGAGCGCCGACGGCGAGTGATCGTTGACGGCGTCTCTCGGAAACAAAGGATGTTGGCCACAACACATAGCTTCGGATTTTGAAGAAATTTCTGGGTTGGGTTTTGGGAGGGTGAGATTTTTTTTCACGTTTTCTTTTGCACCTAATTAATTTGTTTATGATTTTTTATTTTTTATTTTTTTTGTTTATCGTTAGGGTCAAGTTTGAAACAGGATTCCCTGCTGTCACTATTTCCCAACAGTTACAGTCAAGGTATTATAGACTATTCGATTTTTATCTAATGGCCCAAAATAATGTATGTTTAATACAGTCAGGGTAATATATTCTGTACTAGTGTAATAAAGACTCAACACCATTCATGAAATTATCTAATGTATTTCGTTTTGCAAGTAAAAAAATAAAAGATTATTTGCCTGTTTTTTAAGAAAAGATATTTGTCTTAAATATTACTTGTCTCCGATTATTTTTATGAGAAAATAATTACATTAGGTCTTAATCATTTTGATTTATATAATGTTAATAAGGTTATTACTAGTAAGTTTAACTTTGATTTTATATAAATTTAAAAAATTAATTTATACTTACCTAATGTTAATAGGGGAAGTTATTTGACCACCTATTTTTCAGGAGTTAGTGGAGATTCCTTATTATTTGACTCACACGTTATAGGCGTCTCTGTGCGGGTCGCTGAGTGATCGCTTAGGCAATATAATTCTTAGGTGAGGGCGCCTTGCTTTAGAACTTCCACAAATATAACATTACATGGTCCCTGAAGCACGAGGGATTTTCTAAGGACAAAGTATTTTTTAAACTCTTTCTTCATTAATATTCAAAGTGCCCCCTCGCAACATCAGTGGTTCTCTCACTCAAGGGCGACCATATTCACGGGGTGATCCCTTCAACTAGGGGAGAGTCCCTCAGCTGAGGACATTTATGTATAAACGGCCGAGTCCCTCGGTCGAAGGAATTTATATTGAAAAGGCTAGTGTAGTATGAAAAGATTTGCCTACTTTTAGGTGATGTTCTGAGACACCAAAATGTCAATCACTTTTGAAAGACATGGGTGGCATTTAATGCGCCTCATGACGATGCTTCTTGGGAAAACAAGTTTTTTTTTACTTCTTACATGTGGCCTCTAGGTGTGGATATTTTCCAACTCCTTTTAGAAGTTCCTTTATTGGGTTAACGTATGGCCTTGCGCCTTTGGGCTTCCCTTTATTATTTCGCAAAAACCCTTTTATTTTTCATATTCGATTTCTCATTCTAAAGAAGCATTTTTGGGTTAGACATTTTCTCTTCTAAGTCTCTGTTTTTATTGATCATGGGGAAGAAAACTAAACTCATCCATGTCCAGGATATTACGTCCCTGTATTCCACTGAGGAAATAATTGATAAATTTCGCCATGATTTTAGATTTTCTAGCACAGTTCGAGAAAGGGATGTGATCATAGACCCTGTTTGAATGATGATATAGAAATATGAATACTTTCATCGAGTCATCTGCTCTGTATTTTTACATCCATCTTCCTATTATTTATGACTTGAGGGTTCTAATTCCCCTCACCTCTTTTAAAACATAGTTTTTGACTGCTGTTAATGTAGCCATCTCTCAAGTTACTCCCAATGTACGGGGTATACTTAGATCTTTTCAGATAGTCTTCTATAGTTTAGGTGTATCCCCTTCTGTTGGAGTGTTATTCCATTTCTTCAAGATGAAACTCATTCCCACCAATGGTAGGGTAACATTGCACCCTTTTCCCAGTGGATGCCTGCTAAAACCCTTCACCAACCCTTGTGAGGACTGAAAGGACAAGTTTATACGGATAAGAGGGCACAATAGTGCTTCTTTCATTATAGCGAGGGTGAAGGGCAAACCCCATTTTTCCTCTATGTTGATATTTAGAGTTGCAGCCTACTGCGAGGGTGGATCCACGTGTCCTTTCTCTCATCGATCGAGAAGTGATTCGGGTTCTGGGTGTTTCCACTCCATGGGGTCTACCATCCTTATTAACCAAAATCATGAAGACGGTGATGGAGTGGAAGAATATTTAGGTATGAAAGAACAGTTTCTGACCTAACTCTACGCTGATGTATTCTAATGATTTTTTGTTATCTTCAGGTGTCACTACCGCGGAAAAAAACTAAAAGAATAAAGTCGCTGCTGAACTTTATTTATCCCAAATAAGGAAAGGAAAATATCAAGAAAATCTCAAAGAAGGAAAGGAACATGGTCTTACAATCAATATCCATGTAAGGGAGTTGATTATGCAAAGGGAAGGTATTAGCACCCCTCACGTCTGTGGTACTCCACGGGATCCACTCTTATTGTTCTAATCAAAGGGTGTGTATATCTAAAGACTTACTTGCTAAGGGAATGCATAAATGATTTATTAAAGGGAAAAACAAAAGGTTTTTATTATTTAGTCCATCCGAGTTTTGTAACTGAGTGCCTATGTATCCAAAATGGAATCAGAACTCCGTAGTTTTTCTCAAAAACATTTTTTTGTTGTGTGTTTTTCATGGACGATACTAAGTTCGCATTCTAGCAGTTAACATTTGCCACTCGACCTTTGGAGACTCACGCATTTTTGTATTGTGTAGAAAGGAATTAACATGTCATTTTTGAAAAGGTTTTAAAGAGAAGAAGGCCCTAAGGCAAAATGATTTAATTTTTTTGGAGTGTTTCTGTTATGAGAAATATCTTAAGTGGTTCCCTTAAGCAATGGATACTTAAGTTTTTGCTCCTTTAATTTGAAAGTGTTTGAAATTGTTTTAAGTGTTTTTGGATTTTTTTTATTAAAGAAAGAAGTTTAGTTTTAGAATGCAATGCAAAAAAGAAACATATCTAAAGGGAAACTTGAAACCCTAATATGATCATGTACAGATAGACCTGAGGTTGGGATTGAAGGAAATCTAACATAATGTTGTAACACCCTTTTAAATCCACATACATTTTTCATATATTTTACGAAATTAAATCAAATAAAATTACCAACAAGAGTGTCACATCTTCATAAAAGCATCATATAAAACATCTTGGTTTGTAACACGGGTTTTCAAACCATTTAAAACAACTAATTCTTTTATATCATCAAGATCATATTCAATTTATCACAGCGAAATCATAATCTCAAAAAACATCTCTATAGAAATACTTCAAAGCAACTGCATCACGACTCAATTGTGTTTGGTTCACAAATCAAAACGTTTCAAATACCAAGAAAGGTAATTTTAAAATCTCAAAATAAATGAAAGAACTTAATGGTTCCAAAATCAAATGTTCTCAACCCCGATGTTACATGTTAGAGCAAGACCCTCTTATTCAACAGAAATAAATGACACACTTCGAAGTTATCCTCTAAGCTTACACGCACTAATCCTGATCACCTACAAGTACCCACGTATAGAGGCAACATTTCCAAGCAGAAAGGGTGGGTAATCATAATCATTATAAAAGATATAAGGAATAAATACAGTTGTTATAACACGTCATCCAGAAACCACACGTCATTAAAACTTCATGTTATACTCGCACATTCACTTCATTATTCATTCATAGCATTATCATATCATCAGTTAATAATCACCACTATAACATCATTAATTCACACATTCACAAAGCATCTTGTAATCAAATATTATGCAATTCCACAAAGAATATAATGCAACTTCATTAGACTCATGCATGTGGTACCAAAACTTCACTGATGACTCAGTCCTCATTTCTTCAAATATTCCCACCAATAGGATCAATTCCCGCTTAGAACCATAGCACATCATAATATTGCACCCAATTCACACTATAGGATTGAAGTCATAACTGGACTAACATTTTATCATCATTAATGGACCAATTGTCTTAACAACATCACTGGACCGAAGTTCTAACATATGCCATGAATGTGTGATGTGCAACAACATAATAAGACATGACCATGTAGCAACTAGAGAAATCATTAAGCAATGAAGTCGCTATCGAATATTTATTTATTCCAAAAAAGAGAAAGGAAAACATCGAAGAAAACCTAAAGAGGAAAATATTATGGTCTCGCAACCAAGAGAAAGGGTACGGGATTCGATTACGCAAGGGGAAGGTATTACCACCCCTCACGTCTATCGTACTCGACGGGGTCCATTATTGTTGTTCTAATCAAATGGTGTGTTTATTATAAAGCTTAATTTCTAAAAGGGAATGCATGCAAAAGTGAATTATTTGATTAAGGAAAAAGAAAAGGTTTTTATTAGTGTCAAATAGGTAGATGTCAACAAGCTAAAGGAACTGGAGACTGTTGAATTGTTGGGAGAGTTGTATGAAGCTTCCAAGAAGAAGAACATGAAACTGCAAGCGAAATTGATATCAGAGGCATGGATTGGAAAAATCAAGTTTATATGTGTTTTAATTTCTCTTTTGATTAATGTGTACCTACTATGAAAATGTAATTGTTGAGATTATCAGTTATGAGCAATGTAATCATTGTGTTATGGTGTAAGATTGTATGAGTAGGTTTGTAATTATAATGAATTATTATGATGTAATGACTAAGGAATTGTAATGATATAATGAATAAGGAATTGTAATTGTATTAGTAAGCTCTTCAAAATTGATTTATTTTGTACATAGTTTTGCATAAAGTTTTCAATCATGTGAAAGTCACTTATAAAATTGGACATAGTTTGCACCAAACTGGCATTTATAAAGCAGTGAAATTATAGGTAAGCTAGTTTGGAAGTCAACAAATTATGCTCAAAATGACATGATAGCTTTATCATTAAAAATATGTTATCCAAACAGATCCATTACATGGAATGAGATTGTACATTGACCAAAATAACAAAGTTTGAAACTTAATACATTAGGAAATTACAAGTAACTGCTCAAAGTTTGCAACATACATAGATTGAAACTAAATATCAGCAAATTATACATAGTTGGCAACTCAAAAATACAATAAAAAGATCAAAATAGGTAGGTTCCTCATTGAGTCGTGTTTTTTTAGATGTCATCCTAGCTTTTCATACCCTTCTTAACTAGTGGCTTTGATATATCCTCTTCAATGATTACAATTGG